AATTTTTAATATGTTTCGGTTTGCGTAAATAAAAGCTGACGCAAACTTCCTTTCTGGCCGAGAAGGAAGACCACCGCAATCGAAGGCCAGTTCGAGCCAGTTTCCTTTTAGGTAATCGATTGTGGCAGTGGCGGAGTGCGGCCTGGCCAAATTAATAAATCAAATAAACGCCGAGTGGAAACCGGCCGAGGTAAGCTCATTCAATTAGCAACTAGCTCCTGCTCCAGACTCACTTAATTACTTCTGACGTCTGCTGACTGATTAAAACACAAGGCGGGCCAAAAGGAAAACACAGCATTACCGTACCCGTACCCGTAGTCTTAACTCTGCCCGGACTTTAAGCTTTGACATTTCGGCATTAGCCGGCGGGGCAGGAACAATATTTTCTTTGCCCAGTCTAGCGCAAGTCGATGTGTCTGGGACTGCTGTTGCTGCTGCTACTGCTGCTGCTTTATTTGCCTTGGATTTTTCCTTCTCCTTTTTTGCCAGAAAACTCAAGTGTTAATCCAGCCAGCTGGTCAGACATCCGGCTAACCAAGAGGACTTTGTTTTTGTTTATCAGCCATCTCTTCTTGCTTTCTAGACATCATTGTGGACTGGCTTCACTGGCTCATACCAAAGAATCAGAACGTGATCTTGCATTGATCATGGGTTACGATATATCTTAGCGCAAGCGAAAAAAACGGAAACGGAAATGTGTAACCGAAGCGTAAAAAAATGTCCGACTGCGAGTACGGGTGGAATTGTCATTGTAATAGTAATTTATTGTTTGCAAAACTTTGCCAGCAACTCGCACATGTCGACACCAAAGGATGAGGATATAGGGCAAAGCTGGCCTGAGATGGAGAAAAATGGCTGTGGGACAGCGTTTGACATTTGACATATGCGAGTCGTTTGACATACAAGCAAATTACATGGAACTATTTGTCTTGTCGGCTAAATCGCATAAGCTGCGAGCTGAATCCGGAATGCGGCCACATAGCTGGGCAAAATCAAGCTGAGATCTTTCTCAATGGTGAACATATTGAGTGCTATACAGGGCGTATGAGTAATGTGAGTGTTATATATGAGAGAAGCTTTAAGCAGTGTCAGTGCTTAATGCTTTTATAGGCGGCAATATTGGCCACTCTGCACTCTGGCAATTCATAATTAACCATCAGTGGGCGCCCAAAAGCACACAGGGCGTATGAGCGATGCGTTGCACTTGGCCAGCCAAGCAAAGTCATTCAAAATGTCCAACACAACTTTCCCCCATGGTTCTTTTTGGTTATTCTCCCGTTTTCGTGTTATTGTTGTGTTGCATTTTGCATTAAGTCAAATGTTTTAATTAAAATGGGTAAAACTTTTCCAATTACGGTTGGGCAGCATAAAAATTATCAATTCAAAAGCAGTGTTTTTTAAATGTTGCCCCCTAAATGAGCCTCTTTGGCATAGTGGTAGTAGGACTGTTACTACTTCACCGACTGTCACACAGTTCGCGTCACTACGAAGTTCCCTTTTCGGCAAGGCAAATTAATTAGCTGCAAAAAGTGGCAAGAGTGTTGGCAAAACTTTCATAAACTCGGTAAGCTCGCTAATTGCGTCTGTGAGCGTGTTTAACTTTGGAAAACTGTAACTTAAACGAGGCTAATTAGTTAAGGAACCAGCTTTAAACTTACTGCAAAATCTTACTGAGGAAACTACATCGATACTATAATAATAATAAGCGAGGGAAATATGAGCTCGAAGTGCATTCACAGTGGTGCATGTAAAAGGTCTTTCGTCCTGTTTCCTGTCCTCCATCATCGCTCACCTGGCGCAGAGATTAAGTTTATGTGGCGCCGTGTCGTTCATGTGATTAAGTCTCGGCCGCACTGCAAATTGCTCGAGGAAGCCGTGCGCTTTCATTGCAATTAAGCCGCAACTGCCACATAATGATAAAAAGAGGGACCTGCCTGGCATAAAGGACTTGCCAGAGGGGGGATGGAGAGAAGAGAAAGGTGAAAGGGGCGTAGTGCTGGACTGCGTATTAAGCCAGCCAGCAAACGAATCCACTCTTTCACTAGTTATGGCCAAGATTGCTGCCATATCCATGCCCCTTGGTGCTGTATTTTCTTTTCATTTTTGTTCCTTTTTTTTTTGCATGTGGCACAAGGACACTTTTGGCTTTCTAACTGGGTTAGACCGCCATCGTTATGGCCCGTGAAAATTAAAGCCATTTCCATGGTGACTGCTTAAATGTCTCGACTCAATTGTCAGCCATAAAGGCAGTGTTGCCAACTTTTGATTGCTTTGCAGGCAGCCAGGCAGTGCTCCTTCCAAGTTGCAGCTAACATGTGTGTGTCTGTGTGTGTGTGTGCCGTCAAAGTTTTAATAAGCAGTCAAGTTGGTGGCACATTTTCAATCTCAATTCCCACGCACCTGAGCCAGCAATGACCTGGCCTTAATAATAATTAGCACAAACACACATACTCGTACAGGGAGTGAGAGCAAGAGAGCTCCTGGCCATTTGGCATTCTGAAGTGGCCAGGAGTGGTCATCCTGCATTGCAGTTCTGGCCGTGACGTGGCACGGAATGTGTTATATATAGTACTCGTACTGGATGAAATCTGCGCCTGTGTTTCAAGATTTCACTGCCCATTTATCAGCCAAGAATGCGCTGAAAGTTTTCCTCATCCCTTTTGCAGTTTTCCATTTATTTTTTTCCCCCTCCCCTGTACTTTTTTTTTTATTTTCCGGCTCTCAGTGAATTCTTTTTTATGGTTGTTGGATTTTTTTTTTTAACTTTTTGGTGGGCAAATGCTAACGGGTTTTAACGGATTTGGCCCGAGCCGGAGCCCGAGAGCAGCCAGCGCATTGCACAATTTTAGAGAGATGCCTTTTTCGGTTCGCTTTTCGGTGGCAAGCAACGTGCAGATTTATTGCATTCAACTTTCGTGTGACTTTCACAACAAACTTTTATGTCTTGAAACTTTTCAAGTTTACTTAAGCAACAAAAGTTTGTCCTCCGACCATTCAGATTTTTCCCATTCTCGTCGAATTTATTGCCAAAAACACAGCCATCCGAAGCTTAAGCGGAGCCCGAAATGAAGTGTTGGTAATATGCTATGAATTATGCGCATTAAATTTCCAGTATGTGTGTGTGCGTGTGTGTGTGAGTATGAATAAAAGTTTGTGCGGTTTTTCCGCTGATTCACGCTAATGAGGCGATGATGCGTGTGGAGAGCGTCTGCATCCGGCGGAAATGGGTCTCTCGCTCGATTGTCATCGTAAATCATTCGATTGGCAAGTCAAGAGTTATCGATTTCCTGCTCACTATCAAGCATAACTCGCAATGCTCGCATTAGAATTATTAAAATTCCTGCTGTGGTTTCTCTTTTTCACATGCCAAATGCCACATGCCACACGCACACACACAGACATAGACATGTGAAACCCACAACCACTTCGTATAGAAAGAAGTATCATGTATAGGTATGGCTTTCACTTGGCTGACTGTGCCATTTGGCAAATTAAAAATATTGCCACAAGGGGCGGAAGGGGAGGCGCACTCTGCTCCACTAGCTACAAAACAGGAGAAAAAAAAGAAGGAGAAGAGAAATAATAAAAACGTAACCAGAGTGGAAGTGGCAGCCACAACAGTGGCAACAAAAATGAGCAAACATAGCATATTTATGCCAAACAAAATCAATATCGAAAGTGGCACACAGAAACTGGAGGACGACGGAGTATGAATTTCGGTGCTGGGGGAGTCAGTCATTTGAAATATTAGCCAGACCCAAATATTCTCGCGGTGCTCCAAAAACACATATCGCCCAGCTTCCGAATGACATTTTTCGTGGAAAGCAGGAAAATTTAATGCAAGTTCTATCTTTAAGCCCTAAGCTGATTTAGAATGGGAACAAGGAGAATATTAAAGCTGTGGTAATGTAATATTTCCGCATTAAGTTTCTTTGTAGGAAGAAAAAAAGTTGCACTTCTCTTTGGGAACTTTAAAAGGTTACCAAAGGGACCTAATTTTTACCTATGGAAGTCTCTTCCCACAAGGTATTTTCCCATATTTACATACTTTTAACTAATTTAAGAATATATTTAAGTAACTTAAACCAATTTAACTTGTTCTTCATTCCCATCTAAGATCAATCAGCGGACTCAATAGCAAATTGCATCATCGATACAGAACACTGAGGTAAGTCGCCAAAAGTAACTGCCAAGCCATTTAAGTGCAGGAAATTGAATTTTGAAATGCGCACGTCGAACGTTGGATGGATGGATAGGGGATGCTGGTGATGTGGATGATGATACGAATCTGCGGCAACAACTTGTTGTTGGAGCCAGAAGCGTCTCTTTAGTGGCTTCGTCCTTTTCAATTAGGAGCAGCCATCTCGACAATTTCCCGTTCACCAGGCGGAGCCAGGCGGAAATTATGGCACGCCCATTTTAATCATTCGCCATTTCCGGTGCACACACACAATCACCATGGAGCAAAACTCTGGATTTGGATCTGAATCCTGCTCAGCTGGCAAAGTTTCGAGGACATCTTACCTAACTGGTTGGTTGGTCAAAAATGCAGGCCAGGGATTTTGGCTCTTCCAGGACAGCGCGCTAATTGCACTTCTCAACAAGGTGAAGGTGTGCCTGGAATGGTGGGTTATATTTTTTGTACCGAAGTGCGGGGCGGAGTGCGGAGTACGACAAATTCCGTGGGCACAGAAACCACGCAAAATTTATGGTTTCAATTAAAAGTTTCACCATTTCCGTTCATTTGCGGCACAAACAAGCAGCCAGCGGCAAGTGGCAGGCTGCCTTTTTTGGCTAAGGTTAAGAGGGAGGGAATCAGGAGGGGATCGCAATACGGTAATGAGCCTGGACAAAAGCAGGGGCAACCAAAAAACTTGTTACTTTTGCAGCTCAGCGCTTAGGAAATGGACAAAGTTTCGACCATCCGGCCGGCAATAAAAATTTGAATTATGAGAAATTTCTAGCTGCAATTTACTTTGGCCACTTAAAGAAAAAATATCACCCAAATTGGCCATCAATCGGGTAGTTTTAAGTAACTTTTATTCTATCTTAACATAAACTAAGCTCAGCTCTTTATTAAGGCATATCCTTATGTAAAAAGAAAATATGGTTTAATAAGATATTTTATATAATTTTTATATAAATTCTGATTTTGTTTCCCTAAAGTTCCTATAAATGTTTGGTTGCCTTCGGAACTGTAAGTTCGACCGCCTGTGCAGCGAATACGTATTTACGACTCTTAGGATCCATTCGATATAGCTGCTTACTCGGGTATAAACCCCATGACCTCGGCACTCTGAACTTCCAAAGCTGACGATTCCGAACTGGGCATATCGCATCCTGCCATCAATATGAACCGTTTGGACCAGAGGACCTCCAGAGTCGCCCGAGCAGGTGTCGCGGATGGAATGTCCTGCACATATCTGGCTCTCAGTTAAGTTCACCCAAAACATTTGTTCGCACTGGGATGCTTCCAGTTCATTCAACTCCACTGTTCTTAGCTCCCTTGACATATCGGCGTTCTCTGTTTTTCCCCAACCTGCTGCTTTGAAGGTTCTAACGTTCGGCACTTTTGTGGGGTCGGTAATAATGCAGATGGGTCTTATGTAAGCTAAAGGAAACGCCTTTTAGATAAATCTTTTTCAGCCACTAATGGGGGTTTTAACTTACCATTGAACTGCACTTCTGGGACCAGCCTTAGGATTCCAATATCATTGATATGTTGCCCTCGACTGTAAAGTTTATTCCGAAAGGCCTTGTTAACTGCATAGTCCCTGGATGAAGGGGATCTGCTCTCTGAATAATAAGCGCCAAGTCGCACGGCCCTGTAATTAGGAAAATTAACTTTAATTTTATTTTTAAGGTTTAATAACAGAACTTACAGAATATCATCGTTAAGGATGCAGTGGGCTGCAGTCAAAACAAATTCTAAAAATATTTCAATTAATTATTAGTGTTTGGGAAACAATCTGTGATGCCTTCACCTTTGTGTATAAGACTTCCTCCGCATACGAGTTCAGTTTCTTTGCGATTGATAGTTTTGTAAATGTACGCCATCCAAGGATTGGTTCCATGCTCTGCAATCTGACCATGCATTATCTTAGTCGAAATCCCCGTGAGGCCGCAATTGGGTTCCAGGAATTGGGCAACAGCTTCCTGCCGAAGCATAAAGATCGCAAAAATTGCTAAAACAGCACACGGATCTCCCATGTGTTCTTTACTGGAGAAAGTCAAACGTACTGAAAGCTGATGCACTAGATCTCATTTGTTATAATCTCTCATAAAGCGGCTTATCAGCATTACCTTATTGTTTTGTTTTATTTTTCTGAGAGCACAGCAATGCATTTACAAAGTCATAATTTGATTAAATAATCTCTTTTCCAAGAAATGTTATTGTATTAAAATTATGTATTTTAATCAATTAAATGAAATGTTAAAGATTATGCAGTTCCCCCTGCATTTCGTAAAAATCTTTTCCCAGAACCTCAAAATTAAATGTCTTAAAATTAAATTTCAACATAATTCAGCTTCAGCTGCATTGACTAATCGAACTCGTTGCATATATACTTATAGATATATATAGGAATGCCTGAAAATACGCGGATGTGTAAGCAGTGTTTGTCATATCGTCACTAATTGAAGTGCAAATATTGATGAGTGCCTAGGAAGTGCAAACGCGCTTCGCTAATTTGCACAATTCTCTCGTTCCGCCGCATAATGCGCCGCAAAGTATGCCACGCCAAGTCAATGCCATGCCATGCCATGCCATGCTCTAACCGCCTCTACCGCCCGCTAACAGCCACGCCCACTGGTGAAATGCAGCTGCCGAGATGCAGAGCCAACAAAATTGCGCTGGGCGACTGACAGACTAAATGCTGGCACACTCACACACACACACAGGCAGACTCAGCAGAATTTCAAATTTATTCAAATCAACTCGTTCGAGGGGCGAGGGAAGAATGGGAAATGAAGGCGAGACCGGGGCAATGAGCAACTGCAGCCGAATGAATGATTCAATTAGGCATCAAATATTTACAGCAGACGTTTAAATATTGCGACAGACATCAAGTCGGCCTGATATGCCAGGAATAACTCAAGTTCCATCTCCGGCTGAGCTGAGCTAAGATTTCCTCGAGAACTTTTCTAATTGGCCGCTAAGTGCGTTCGTTGGCCCTTGAGCTCTGTCTTCCACTCTAGTCAAAAGTGGAGCAAACTGGGAAAGAGAGGGCCCAAAGACAGCTGCATGTTGACGAGGGCAACGAGAGTTCAATATGCACACTGCATAAATAAGCAAATAACTTTGGCATTGTTCTACCCTCTGCCGTGCACCCCTTTTTCCACCTAGAATTTTCCAGCCCAAAGGCAGTTGGAGTCCTAGTTTTCTGTCTCGATTCTCGATTCTCGACTCTCTTCTGGCCTGCAATAGTTTTCTTTCAGATTTATGAGTTTCTCCAATACAAAATAGTTGTATGAATTCCCAGTGTGAATGTATGTGTGTGAGGGTACGCTTGTTCAATTCAAATAGTTTGATTACAAAAGTTTTTCCATTGAACATTGCTGGCATTCGAGCAGGTGGAAATGCTGTTTTGCATGGCGACTGCTCTTTCAGATTTGCTCTATTTTTGCGTTGAAAAATATAATAATTTAATAGGGGGGGAAGGACCGCCGTCGGGACAGAACTCTCCTATTTCTGCACATTTATGTAATTTAATTGGATTTGATTTGCAAACATTTTGCAGGCCAGCGGCAGGAGGCAGGCAGGCAAGAGCAGGCAGTCAACGTGGCCACGCCAAGTTGTCGCTCAAGAACTTGAGCACTCCAAATATTTTCATAATTTTTATCACGATTGTAATTCTCGCCGAAAAGTTTTTGCATTCGCAAAGTTGCTGGGCCAACTTTTGTGCCCGAGAAAACTTTCGGTTGCTGACAATGAGCTCACAACAGATTTCTGAGTTAATTTCCAGCATCATTTTGGCTCTTCATCCGCTCCCCGTTGCCATTGCCATAGTTATTGCCATTGCAGCAGCGCCTTGTATTGTGTGCAACTTTGTTGGGGCAATAACAATAACAATTGCCAGTACACGCTGCACGCACTGTTAATAAGGCAAATTATAGAGCCGCAGAATGGTATGAAAGGCCCACGTTGGGCGCCAACTAATTGGTGCTTAATGCGGATACTTACGAGCAAAGTTGGCTTTAAGCCGCCGCGCCTTATCAATGTCGGCCCAAATGGATCTCGCTGACAGACAGGCGAACAATGCCATTAATCAAGCGCCCTCAAGGTGCTCGCCCAGGTTCTGGCTTGCTGCTGTTTTTCTTTTTCTTTTTTGTTTTTTTCACCATTCACCGAATTCCCCAACTCACATGTCACATGCAGCGTGGGATGGGCACGTTTCGATTCCGCCCACTTTGGATACCACATGGAGCGACAGTTTTTCCTGCTCCTAGCTTTCCATTTCCCACTGAAAAATAAGAACAAAAAAAAAGAGAAGCAAGGAGAAGAAAACCCAGTAGCAGGATACTGTACACCCGCCCCTTTTGGCCCCCTAGTGCTGACAGCGATAAATTCTAATGCCGGGTCAGCACTGCCAGCGACCACGCCCCCCAATGGCAGGACGTATGTGAGTGTGGGCGTAGTTTGACCAAAGCATGAAAAATGCTTTCGCTTCCTTTGGTTTTTCCTGCTCCTTGTTTTGCCGGAGAAATGAATGAAGAAAGGAAGTTAACTGGCATTTGGTTTTTGTTTGCCGTAGGAAATATTTTTAGCACGTGTTTGGTCAATTTCTGTCCCTACAAAAAGAAGCACCCAACCAACCCTCGGCCACCCACTTACAAGCCAGGCACATTTGTCACTTTAAATGCAATTTGACTTGTGCCCAATGCGCATAAGTTTTCCCAGGCTTTTTCTCGAACGTCTCAACCCCCCTACCACACGTTTGCTGGTAGCATTTTCCTAAGGCATTCTCCCGGCAATTTGTCGTGTCTTGTTTGGGCCATGGACATGGACATGGCCAACTTGGTAGGAATGGAGTTGGGTACAGGGTAAATAGGTAGCATGCACTTGGGAGCGCTTAGGGGAGAGCTCAGCAGAATCAATTTTAAAGTGCTTCTTGGGAAGCCTGCGCAGATATTTATTGTCTGCCCAGGAATTGCAACAATGGTTGGCGAGTGACGGGTCCAACGGGTCTCTATCGAACACTTTTCAATCTGCATACGAAATCAGCGACGTTGACAGTGGCTGGGCTTATTATTCTAACAGACGAACAAGGGATATCGTCTTATTTTCATTGGGCTCCATCATTTTCATACTTTATTGGCGGAGTTTTGTGTTTTGGTTGAAGTAAACCGAATTTGTTTATTTCATACGATTTTCTTGGTAACTTTTACTGAACAAAAACATTTTGTAAAATATGGTTAGCCTATCGAATTAGGTTTAAAAGTTGTACAGTTTTTTGTCAGCTAATGATTTCCTAAAATATAAAATAATTGAGGATCTGAGAACCTCAAAAGGTACCTAAAAGTATGCAACAAGAAAACAATTTAATCGCCGATCATCTAGGTTAGTCTTGGTAAAAAGCTTAAAGCTTTGACCCAGAAACATTGGATTGAAAAAACTGATAACAATTTAGACTTCATTAGTGATTTTACTTCTTTATTTGTTTATTTATATTTTACCAACCCTTGCTTAAAGTTTGGTTACCTTCGAAAGCTAAGATTGCTTTTCCAGCGTATCACTTCCCAGGACATCAAGGATCCATTCGATATAGCTGCTTACTCGGGTGTAGACCTCCAAGCCACGGCAATCGGAAGCTCCAAAACTAGCTATTCCGAATTGCGCATATCGCAGCGTGCCATTAATATTAATCACTTGGATTAACGGAGCTCCTGAGACGCGCACGCAGGTGACCCCCGTTCGAGGTCCTGCACATATCTGGTTCTCTGTCATGTTCTTCCAAAAGGTTTCTTCGCACTGTGATCGATGATATTCATTCACGTGCAATATTTTTAATTCTCCTGATATTTTATCGTTTTGTGTCTTTTCCCAAATTGCTGTCTGAAAGGTTTTTATGTCCGGAACTTTTGTGGAATCCGTAAAAATGCAGATGGGCCTGATAAAATCTGAAAGAAATGCCTTTTAGATAATCCTTCTTAAATCCACAATGGTTCTACTTACCATTGAACTGCACCTCTTCTCCCAACCTTAGGATTGCTATATCATCAAAATATATCCATCGTGAGAAATATTCATTTTTAAACGCTTTCTTAACTGCATAATCTTTGGATGTAGGGGACCCCACTAGCGAATTATTCGCTCCTAAGCGTACGGTACTGAATTTTAAATAATTTAATGAAATTATATACTGATCCTTACTAAAGTTTTCTAATGTTACTTACAGAATATCATCGTCATGGATGCAATGGGTAGCAGTCAAAACAAATTCTGATAATATAGAAATGGAAACCATAGTGTTAGAGTTTTGGAAATATCTTTCTATCTTTAGATTAAAAATATTTATCTGAGTTACCTTACCTTTGTGTATAAGAGATCCTCCGCATACAAGCTCAGTTTCATTTTGATTGATCGTTTTGTAAATGAATGCCAACCAAGGAATCACTGCAGGTCCTGCAGTAGAGCCGTTAGTCGTTACCTCATTGAGGCCGCAATTCGGTTCCAAGAATTGAGCTAAAGCCTCCTGCCAAAGCAGAATATTAGCGATAATTGCAATTATAAGAACCGGAGTCTTCATGTCTTCTCTGCTTTAGTAAACGAAACTTACTGAAGGCTTTTCTACTCACCATGCAGCTCATCCATTCAGCTGCTTATCAACATTCACTAAATGAACTGTCTCGCCTTTCGAAATTTTTTTGTATAATCTCTTTTTCCATTAAATGAAGTGTTTCGATTTCAATATTTTTTATGCTCTGTAAATAATCTCATTTTTGTTAGAATTTATTAGGCACTTTTACTAATCTTATCATAATTCAGCTCCCCCCGAATTTTGTAAGTAATCTCGTTCCCGCGGCCTTTAAAATTAAATGTTCTAAGACTATTTGTATTAAATATTAGTTTAGTTTTGTATTTTTACTTTCTTTCTACTTTCAAGTTCTACGTCAGGGTTGTGCAAAAACAATACAATGCAAATATTGAGGGTTTTTTATTTTTCATTTTATTGTTCTGTGTTGCTAAGGGACATTTATATGATATACAGATTCTTCTTAACTTTACTTTACTTCTTCTTTTCATTATATAAAAGCAAGGTTTAATTTTAAAAAGGCTAATTAATTTGTTTGTTTTTTTGGTTGATTTCAAAAAGAAATTATAGGTTGATTTTGCAGCGAATCATCTTGCAGGACCTTAAGGATCCATTCGATATGACTGGTAACTCGGGTGAAGACATCCAGACTAGGACATTTCGTAGTTCCAAAACTGGCTACTCCGAATTGGGCGTATCGCATCCTACCCTCAATGTTAACTGCTTGGACTAAAGGACCTCCAGGAACACCCACGCAGGGGTCGTCAATGGGTTGTGCTGCACATATCTGGTTATCTGTTGAGTTCAACCAAAACATTTTTTTGCACTCTGTTGCATTTAGTTCATTAAGCTCCAATATTTTTGGCTCTCTTGATACGCTCATATCATATCCTAACCAACTTGCTGCCTGAAATGTTCTTACGTTTGGCACTTTTGCAGAATCCGTAATTAGGCAGATGGGTTGGATGTAATCTAAAGGAAATGCCTTTTGGATTAGTCTTTTCGATTAGTCGATGGAGGTTACTACTTACCATTAAACTGCACCTCTTGTCCCAACTTTAGGATTGCTATATTGTGATTATATATCTCTTGTCCTGGAAGAAGTTTCTTTTTGAAGACCTCCTTAACTTCATAATCCCTGGATCTATTAAAAGTGCCCAGCGAGTTATATGGTCCTAGACGCACGGTACTAATTTAAAGAGATTTAAATACAAATATATGATTTTTAATAAGGTTAAAAATATAACTTACAGAATGTCTCCGTCATAAATGCAATGAGCTCCTACCAAAACATATTCTGAAAATAGGTAATAGAAAAGCATTGTGCTAGAGTGTTGGAAATACCATTTCATCTTTAGATTATAAATATTTATCTGTGACACCTTACCTTTGTGTATAAGAGATCCTATGCATACTAAGTTAGGTTCACTTTGATTGACAGTTCTGTAAATGTATGCCAACCAAGGATTCGTGCCGGGTTCTGCACTCTGGCCGTGGATTATCTTAGTCGTAGTCTTGGAGAGGCCGCAATTTGGTTCCAGGAATTGAGCTAAAGCCTCCTGCCGAAGCAGAATAATAGCAAAAATTGCAAAAATCACACTCGGAGTATTCATGTCTTCTCTGTTTCAGTAAAACAAAGTTACTGAATGCTATACTAGACCTCACCCGTTTTATAGCGGAGAGATTATTATCCAATTCAGCTGCTTATCAGCATTTGAAAAATACTTTTATTTTCGAGTTCAGTATGGCTCAAGCTTCATTAAAAATAATCTCTCTTTAACAATATAAAATTTATGAATACTAATTCAATCATAATTAGGAATTCCCGAATTTTGTTGATAATTTCGGCTTGCGGAAACCAAACTAGGTTTTCCGGAATGTTATCATTTCCGCCAAATTCAAATGATCTTGCTCTTACCCTTATCTATACCAAAGTTACTGAAAGCTATGTACTAGACCTGATCCTCAATCTCTCATTTAGCTTATCAGCTGCAAAAATAATATAATGATGAATAGAAATTCCCTGAATTTTTTTTTGGATAGTATATAGAAAAAAGTTTTTTAATCACATTTTGGTATTTTACTTTTACTAAAAAACCCAACTATTTTTCCTGGAATGTTATCATTTCCGCCAAATTCAAATGATCTTGCTCTTACCCTTATCTAAAATTCCGTACTGTAAACCTTTTGCCACCCCATAACCAATTACCACCTGATGAGAAATGAAATGAACTGTTAAGCTGTCGATTGCCAAAAAAGAAATCTTTGAAATATTTAAGTATGCACTGAACTGGCGGCAAATTACCCCGTCCAGTGTGCAACGCTTATGGCTTCATTAGACTGGGTTTGCTGTGGCTGTTGCTCGGCTGTTCAATGAGCCGGAAATGTCTTCATTATGATTGCATATGACCCAGGCCGAGTTAAGTCAGAAGGCGGGGAAGCGGAAACGGAAGCGCCAAACTTCATTTGTTGTCTGGCTGTTGTTGCTGTTGCCGTTGTAGCTGCTTTCGCTGTTTACCAGAAGTGCGTACGAGCGTGGCAATTTCGCTGGGCGCAAAATCTCAGCCATCAGCCATGGGGGCGTATGAGTGATGGCGGCAGTCATGCAAACTGACAGTTTATTTACCCAACGCCATCATTACCGAGGCCAGTCAATGTTTGCCATGGGAGTCAGGGAGTCATGTGTGCGCCGTCTGAAATTATCGCACGATATGAAAAATTGACTGTGATTTATGCAATTATGTTAACAAAATATTTACTTGGCCACAATTGATGGACCTTCCCTTTTATCCCCCATCAGGATAACCATTAGAAAGACATTAGCTGGCCAACCCCATCATCACTATACAAGTTTTATGAGCTGTACGCGACACAAAGAAAAACTCGAACATAACTTAGCTTTTGGGGTCGGATCAGTCGCCCGGACTTTGTGGTTAGCAGCTAGTCTTGGCCATAATGAACTCCCTTCTGCGGATCAGCTTCGACAGGAACTGGATGGGGGAGGGGGCAACAAAAAACTTTTGTTGTGTTTATGAGTTTCAGTTCCAGCCCCAGTTTCAGTTTCAGTTTTCCTGAATCCCAATCCCCTGGCCCCGGGCATCGATGCCACTTCATATCGACTTGTCAGAAGCAGCCGCTGGCAAGTTTTTTGATGTGTCAGCTGGAGGGGAAATGGACAGGGACAGGGTAAGGCACTGGGGCGTACGTACAATCTAATAAACGAGCTGGCGAAAAAGAATAACAAACTTTCACTGACCTTTGTGGGCTGGACTATGAACTCTGATGAAAAATCTACCCGTACCTTTGAAGGACCTTCGACCTCACTCCTCCTCCCCCCACCAACAAACACTCACACATACACACACGCAAATTGAAATGAATAATAGAACGTTATGAGGCAAGAAAAACAACCCAAATGAGACCCATTGTTGGTCGTTGGCTGGATGCCTTTGTTGTGCCCAGTGTCCCTGGGGTGTGCGTGGTGCAGGGCAAACAAACAAAGTGAGAAAAAGTTGACACATTCACTTACCAGATTAAAATGGAGCCAAGGCCACACGGAGAAAAAAAGCAAGCAATTAGGGTTGGAACAAAAAAAAAAAGGGCAAGTACAGTAGAATTTTCATATGTTCCGCCAGCCAAATTGAAAGCTTTTTGGGGTTTTTCTTCCTAATTGGCTATTATGTTATATAACTTTACTGAGTGTGTGTTATTCTTTAAAAGCTTTGTCTTTTTCTCACTGTGAAAACATCACTAAAATACTGTAGCAAAATCGAATACCTTAAATGTACACCTGTGTCAAAGTGGGCTCTTATCAAATGAGTTGGCCCAAAAGATGGATAGTGACCGATGCCTTTGATTAATGGTCACAACGTAGTTTTGCACTCCGAATTCCGTTACATCAATGTCAGTTAATTGCCATTTATTTAGCCATCAATTGTCAATGGAAAACAGCCAGCGGGAATATCTTCGCCCCACTAACCCACAACTTAGCATTTAGACAAGGCCAAGACGGCAGACGGCAGACGGCCAAGTTCAGTTGAGTTCGTTGGCGAATTGCTCAGCGAACTGTATTAATCGGGGTCATATGCGCAATTATAAAGAATAACAGCAGGGCAGAGACTCTGGCTTAAATCCCCAATACAAGAACCCTCAAAGGCAGTCAAGTTTTTCATGGATTTCCCCTTCCTCTCCATCAAACAAGCGAAGATCCGGAAGTTTGTCGGTGGCTGAGAGAGACGGCCCAAAAATTCCCGCATTCGTCATGGCTGGCTGCTGCGTCTCTGGAAATTCATTCGGATGGAAAGCAGAGTTTTCCGACTGCCAGGCATACGCATACATCTACAAGCAAGCCCCACTTTTGTGCTTTAAAAACGGCGGCCACTTCATTTAAATCGCGTGAGCTGATGCGTTTGATGATTTGTTTTCGAGATTTGTTAACAAATTGATGGCCACAAGCGGGAAAAGAGGCGAGGGAAGTCATAATTTCTACACCCCAATGGATTTATCATCCACTTCAAAGGCGCTAAGTCTGTGGGGATAGGGTAAGGATGGGGGGGTTGGTTAGAAAACATATCTAATTGCAAATTAGATCCCGGCCAGAGGTCACGTGTCGTGGTCGTCTGTGTTTGCACATGGAAGCGGAGCCAATCGAAGATGAGCCCGACTAATCCCGTAATTACAAATCTACGGCTCACTGCTCGACTGACTTCTCCAGCGATGGTTCTCTGCCATTTTCCTCTGTTATTTTTTCCTCCGCCCTGAACTTGAGCAAAAATCGATGGCTCGTCCTTGCGGACCCCTCATAATTTTCATAACGTTGCCATTTCCCCCGGATCGATTCGATTCGTTTCGATTCGTCTGCGAACTCTTACATGGAATTTCCTGCCGATAAGAAAAATGCGCACAAGGGGCATTGAAATTTATGCCCTGAATTTATGCCCCTTCGCATTATATTTCCTTGGTCCGATTTTCCGTTTTCCTCTTCTTTTTTTCCCCTCCTCACAGCCAGCCTTCTCGACAGCCAGTTGGGCTC